TCGAGGAGCCGCCTATGAGTGGTGGTGCACCTATGAGTTAGACAGTCTGGATGAGGCTGCTTCCCTGACTTGGACTCCATTTTCAGATATTTTCCTGAGAGAGTATGTTCCTAAGAGCCTCAGGGACGCATGGCGCGCAGAGTTTGAGCATTTGCTCTGGGGTACTATAACTGTCTCGGAGTATGTTGTCCGTTACACTAGCTTGGCTAGACATGCACCGGCTTTGGTTTCTACTGTTTGTGAGATGGTTCGCTGGTTTATTGAGGGGCTTATTCCAAGCATTAGGTCTAGCATGGCTCGTGAGTTAGAGATGGATATTTCTTATTAGCAGGTGGTGAGCATTGCTAGGAGGATTGAAGGTATGCATGCTAGGGATAGAGAGGAGACGAAGGCTAAGAGGTCTCGAGAGTCAGGCCATTATTCTAATGTCCGTGCCCCAGTTACGGATCATCATGGTGGGGGTTATATGAGTCGCCCCGTTCATTCAGTTTTTCCAGCAGCTAGTGGTATTCCAGCTCCTCCTAGGCCTTATGAGCCTTATTATGCACCTCTAGTATCTAGTGCGCATCCTGTGCGGGGTGCTTTCAGTGGTCAATCCAGCAGACCTGTCCCGAGCCAGTCATAGCCGCCACGTCCTCCCAGAGCTTGTTTTGAGTGTGGTGATACACGCCATATGGTGAGGGATTGCCCCAAACTTAGTAGGGGTGCACTCCACAGACTTCTCAGCCACAGCGTGCCCCGCAGAGCTCTCAGGCTATGGTTACAGCTCCAGTTGCTACCCCACTTGCTCAGCCAGCTAGAGGTGGAGGTTGGGGAGGTAGAGGTCACCCTAGAGGGGGAGGCCAGGCCCGATACTATGCCCTTCCTGCCCGTACCGAGACTGTTCCCTCTGATTCTGTCATCACAAGTATTATACTGGTTTGTCACAGAGATGCATCGGTTCTATTTGATCCAGACTCCACTTATTCTTATGTGTCTTTTATTTTGCTCTGCATTTGGGTGTACCCCGGGATTCTTTGAGTTCCCCTGTTTATGTTTCTACTCTTGTGGGGGATTCTCTTGTTATGAACCGCGTTTATCGGTCGTGTTTGGTTGATCTTAGTGGTTTTGAGACCAGAGCCGATTTATTGTTGTCAGCATGGTAGATTTTGATAATATCTTGGGCATGGACTGTTATCGCCCCATTATGCTATTCTTGATTGTCACGACAAAATGTGGCGTTGGCTATGCCAGGTATACCACGTGTTGAGTGGAGGGGTGCTTTAGATCACACTCCCTGTAGAGTTATTTCTTTCCTTAAGGCTTAGCGAATGGTTGAGAAGGGGTATGACGCGTATCTAGCTTATGTGAGAGATGTCAGTATTGATACCCCTTTAGTTGATTCAGTCCCAATAGTACAGGATTTTTCTGATGTGTTTCCGACTGTCCTTCCGGGCATGCCGCCCGATAGAGATATTGATTTTGGCATTGATTTATTGCCGGACACTCAACCCATTTCTATTCCTCCGTATCGTATGACCCCTCTTGAGTTGAAGGAGTTGAAAGATCAGTTACAAGAATTGTTTGATAAGGGTTTTATTAGGCCCAGTGTATCACCTTGGGGTGCTCCTGTCTTGTTTGTGAAGAAGAAGGATGGTTCTATGCGTATGTGCATTGATTATCGCCAGTTGAACAAAGTTACAATGAAGAACCGTTATCCTTTACCCTGTATTGATGATTTGTTTGACCAGCTTCAGGGCGCGCGAGTGTTTTCTAAGATTGACTTGCTCTCAGGTTACCATTAGTTGAAGATTTGGGAGCCAGATATCCCGAAGACTTCTTTCAGGACTCGGTATGGTCATTACGAGTTCCTTATTATGTCATTTGGGCTGACCAATGCTCTAGTAGCCTTTATGCCACTACTGAAAAATTAGCCTATGGCAAAGGTTTTTTTTTGCAACGGTTCGGAAACCGTTGCTATAGAGTGCTTATGACATCGATTTTTACCGTTCCAATAAGGCATAGGTACATTCGGCACTCTTCAATCATAAAACCATTGCACTTGTGTGGAAACAATTCCCATAACTATTTTTTTGTAACGTTTCTTGTAACCGTTCCTATAGACGAGTCTATTGCAACGAATTTGGGAAAAAAAATCAATGGGAACGGTTATTATAGCCCGTTTGGCCAAGCTGCAAAAATCAGCTTATTTTGAGAAATGCTTTTTTTCAAAAGTGCTTTTCTCAAAAGTACTTTTGGTGAGAAGCACTTTGTGTTTGACTAATTAGTTTGAAAATCACTTCTAAGCAGCAATTAGTGTTTGACCAAGCTTTAAAAAGCTGCTTCTAAGTGTATTTTTTTTCCTCAAAAGTGCTTCTCAAAAAATTACTTTTGGAGAGAAGCTACTTTTTTCTACTTCTCCAAAACTGCTTCTGCCTCTCCTCAAAAACACTTTTTTTACCCCCAAAAGCTTGGTCAAATAGGCTATTAATCCCTCTTAATTATTTTCCCCCGAAATTTTCGTGAAACCCGCCAAAGCCCCAAATTATTTACATTCTAATTTTTTTTACCTGGATTTTTTATGTAATAGTACTACTAATTAATTAAAAGGAGAAGGTAAAATATTAAGCCTCTCTCTCAAAGCTCACGCCCAATCTCTCTGCCAAACCTCGCCGCGCCGGTGACAGTCCCACGCCGGTGACAGTCCCTCTGCCAACCTCTGTTAAACGCACCAAATCTCAGCAAACAATTCTCAACAATTGAGCCCTAATTCGCACCACAAACAACCAGCTCCTTCAAACAATTCGAACCATCCAATACGTTTAGGTTTTTTTCTCGATTAAGCTCGGCTAACACGTCAAGTTCCACAGATCCCTAATTTAAGGTTTTTGCTTGATTCTCATAAATTTCTTATTTATTTCGCATGCTCTTCTTTTACTGGTTTTGCAATTTCTCAACAGTTGAGCCCTAATTCGCCTATTTCATTCCTCACTGAAGAAGAATTTGCCGCTGGGTAGCTGTGGAATAGATATCATCGTAAGTTCCTTTACTGGTAGATTAATTGATTTTAATTTTATTTTTGGGGTATTTGAGCGATGTACTGTTATTGATTGGAAATACACAATCTTTGTTGTGCTGTGATCTTTTTTCTGGGGGAATATTGTGCTGATAATTTCACTGATAGACTATGGCTATCCGTAGCTTGTCCTTTCCTTGCTCTAACATGAATATAGTCCTTTGGTCGCATAGGAGGCTTTTGATTTTGAGTTTCATGACCTTCATTATTTCCCTTTGATTCCTCCATGTTAACTGCTCCATTTTCTGTCTCATTACCTTCTACTTCTTGTTTACATCTCTTTGTTCTTGCATTATCATCACCTTCACCTCCCTAAAATTAAAATTTGATTAGCCACTAATTGCATTAGTTAAGCAAATCAAGATTATTTTGACTTCATAATAATCCTAACCATGTTTCCATTAGCGGGGAGAGCTTCTTTTGTTTCCTCTTGAAGAGTTGTTTTTCTTTTTCTAGTAGAATTCAATTCAGTTGGTGTTTTTGGCCCTGTTTCTCCACTTGGCTCTGAAATAGACTCATTAGAATTAGTGATAGGCCTGCCCAAATTTGTAGACATCAATTCCATCCTTGTTTGGCCCGAATTATTGATTTGCAAAGGGGATCCAGCTTGTTTCAGAGAAGGGCTACTTGAAACTCTAGGCAATTTTCCATTCCCCAATTGTTGAGCAGATCTATGTGTCAATTCCCCCAATGGACTTGTTCTACCGTTACAACAATGAAGCTTCTGCAATGAAAAAGAGAAAAAGTGAAAGGTATATAAAGCAAAAAACCAACAACAAGATTCTCTTTAATCAGCATAAGCACTTTCCTAATGCTACAGTCTTCCTTAACTATACAAATTTTGGTACAAAAGATTAATCTCAGCACCTACAATTTAGTCTCACATGGCCATTTCATTAGCAAATAACTTGACATCAACTCTGTCCATCTATTTCCTCCACTAGTTTGCATGCTTGTGTAGTGATGAATAATGACAAATCGATATATTATTGAGTAATATACCATTAAAGTATGAGAAATATTTCTGTCAGTGAAAGTTCAGTCAAACTGTTTATTTATTGCTCCAAAATTTAATAGTATCAAAAGATGACAATAGAGGATCTTTTCTTAAAATTAGAATTGAAATACCTGGTGAGTGATTGTATTCTGAGGCTTTAACTTTCATATAACTTAACAACAGCTTTTGAAGAAGAACCATGCAAATTCCTTTTACAAATTAGAGTGTCTGAAATGCTTAAAACAGCAAAGCTACTAACTAAAGACTATTGGAATTACAGTGTTCTTAAGTTGAATTGAACTTAGAAATAGGTCAAGCAACAAACTGAAAAAGAATGGATAACAGATTGAATCACAAGATTTACTATTCCAAATCACCAGAATATTATTTCCAGAAGGAATGCAACTCTTAACTCGCTATGGGGTCAGTGCATCATTATAACTGCGGTTCAAGCATTTTGTCATGGGCGGCTTTCCAGCCGTGCCCCTTGACCCCTTGGGCGTNCTCCTCCTCCTCCTCCTCCTCCTCCTTCTTCTTCTTCTTCTTCAAGGAATTGGAAAATATTTAGAAATATAGACTATAATTGTAAATACAGATTTTGTCATAGCTCAGATACAAAAAAGAGGTTTTTTTTTTATAGTAATGGAATATTTATAATAAAAAACTAGAAGTAGCTTTGCTTGTTACAAGTCATAGAAAAGCTGCGACTCGTCGGTGGAATATCACAAGCGATATTTTGGTTTCCTACTGTCCTAAGCATATTATAAGCAGTAGTTGGCAGGGATTTAACAAAAAAGCAATCTCCATTTTGTTCCAATGTCAGTTGTTGTATCACAAAAGAGGTGGACTTGCATGGAGCTTTGGGGCTTCAGGATTTAGCTGCTTGAAGTGATCCTTGGTACGTCTCTAGCTAGTAGATGAGCCACTTAATTACCTTCACGAATGTTATGTCGAAGGAGAAGGAGCTTCTGCTGGGGCATTAATGATCTGCATGCATAAACAATATTAGAGAAAATAATATGATCATGATATATTGCGATGATGGCTGTTGAATCTGTTTCCGCCTCAATGGGGAAAAGTTTGAATTTTGGGACAATGTTGTAGGCCCTCGTGTATTGCCTGTAGTTCAACATGTAACGGTGATGTAGCAGTACAATTTTTTTTTGGAAGCCAAGGATCCAATTACCAGCGTGATCCCTGAAGACTCCTCCTAATCCTGTACCTTTTGCATTTTTTTTGTAGGCGCCATCAATGTTGAGTTTGTGCAAGTTTCTTTTGGGGAGCATGCCATCGTATGTGAATTGACATTTTCGTTTGAAGTGGTGCACCTTTAGAATTTAGAAGAAGAAATTCCAAAGCCTGGCTCGAGATAGCGTTTAATGTGGGAGAGTAGTTTGTGTTGAAGTTTGGCAAAATGCCAAAGTCCCACATTGGTTGGGAGTTAAGTTTGGAGGGG